CTTACAGAACCTGGTATTCCCAAGCGGTCACCCATCTAGGTAATGATCAGGCTCGACGTTGCTTAACTTCGTTGAGCTGACGAGAACCAATGTTTTATGGATGTAAGCTGTAACTTTCAGGGAAGCATCATCTCGGGAGTTTTTTCACAAAGTAATACTTCTGGGGGAAAGTTTTCTGAGTGAAGCTTGCTTCTTAGCAAAGAAACAACAATGGAATGAGGATGGTTGCCACTATAAACCTTTCTCTGGCTTGTTCTAACTATGAAAGTTTTAACTGGTGGAACTTAATTCTTCCGAATGCCTGCCATTGTAATATCGATAAAGTAGTGAGAGGCTAGGAACATTTCACCTGTGGGATAAGGGCTGCAAGGTGGAGAAAAATTCATCCCCCACAAGGCCACGCAATATCAGCTCAGTTACTGCAATACTCCATTCTTAGTCTGATTTGACTCTTGTAAAGATCAGACCATCGCCGCGGTATTTCTGTATTTTAAAGCGATACAAGGAAGTTAACATTCTTCCAGCATCTTTTGTGATGGCACCAAATAGACGCACGTTCCATTTGAGATCAGGAGTGAGCTTTAGACCAAGTAGGCGTTCTAGTTGAGATGCCTCTTTCAGGATATGACCGCTCTTCAGGATTCGTACTCGGAACCGCATCAATAAAAGATACCGATCCCAGGATTTTCAAAACAAGTATGCTCCCCCTACCCTGAGAACTAGAATAAAACAATTATCCTACGTCCATGTCCCTGAGTCGGACAAAATATAGCAAAGGAACGGTATCATACATAATATAATTAATATATACATATTTACGAAATATACAATATATTTTTTAATCATTTCATCCAAGTAAGGTAGTAAAGCCACAACGACACAAGGGGTTACTGAGTGGGAAAGAATAATAAAAAAGAGAAACATTATTAAGGAACAAGAAGAATAAGAACAATCAAGAAAACAGTAGATAATTATTGACATTGCATTTGAATTTTGAAAATCAAAGTAGACTGGAAAACATGGAGCCGAAAGCGAGTTCCGCAGGCGAGAAGCGCGAGAAAAAGATGGACAGTGAGAATTGGACAGCTCCATCCCAGATATGGTAACAATTCTCCATTCTTGAATCTTGTAAAGATCAGAGCATCGCCGCGGGAGTTCGTTATTTTCTGAAGCGATACAAGGAACCGACTATTCTTCCAGCACCTTTTGTGGCGGCACCGAATAGACGCATTCCATTTGAGATCAGGGCAGAGTTTCCATCCCTGTAGGTGTCAAAATAAAACGCAATAACAGTTTATTTAATTATATATTCACCATTATTTACAATGACTTGTTGCTACTTTTCCTTTATTCCAACTTTATAATAAAATTCGCAGGTGTTGATGTAAAAAAAAGGTTTTGACGAACTCTTGAATCTGGTTTTCATTAGAGAAAGTTTTCCCAGCAAATGCGTTCTGCAGAGATCGTAAAAGGTAATAATTGATTAGGGCCACATCAAGTGATTTGAGCAGAACAGACCAACCGAGATCCACAAGTTTCTTTGCTGTACGTAGACTACAGGAACTCCTATAGAATGTAGTAAAGGAAAGCGATAAGAAAGGACTAAGTGTCAATTGTAAGAAGATAGAATGTATGCATGTCAGCAAGATGCGAAATTCGAATTGGTGAATCCAAAATCAGGCAAGTACAACAATTTAACAATCTAGGAAACGTTTTAGCAGAGGACGAAATATGCGACACCGAAATCCGAAGGGGCATTAGGATAACGGAAGATGCCTTCTAAAAGTTAAGAAAAGTATTAAAAATAAAGGAATTTTATCAGGCAGTTCTTTTATAGCTTTTGAGTAGAATTCTGCAGGTTTTGATACGAAAACGTTTTCAGGGAAATCTTGAATCTGCCTTCCATTCGAGACCAGTTTTCCCCCTCAAAGAGTTTTGTAATAAACGAAAAAGGTCATTATCGTTTGTTGCAGGATTAGGTGAATATGGCGGTTGTGGTGGGGGTGCTAGAACAGACCAGTCGAGATGCACATTTTTTAATTCGTTCCTTTTTCCTTTCATCCACTGTGTACGCTGCCACTTCCATGGGAAAAGTAAGGTAAGTCAGGGTACACGAAATTTATTCTTAACAGCCATCTATGGTTATTATTTCAGTAATTGTTCACCAAATACAAAGTCCAAGAGCCCTTCATGTTAAAGAGCAACTGAATGAATTTGTCATATGAGCATGAAAGGAGGTGCATTATGTAGATATAACGATTGCCCCATAATTTGAAAAGGTTTAAGAGTGTAACGAATAGGGAAGCATAATCTCGGGAGTCTGAACACACACGCAAAATAACGGTTCTTGGTAAGAAACTCTCCGAGTGGAACTTCCTCCTTACTAATGGAATACGATGGGAATGAGAGAGAGAGAGTTTAACGCTCGATACAACTATTCATATTTGCCTGACAGTCAGTATTTGCCTGTTATTTTATATCTAACACAGTTTTATTTTTACTATCAGAACTTACTGTATATATATATATATATATATATATATATATATATATATATATATACATACAAACCTCTCATATACGGATCCCATCAACGGATTCGGATGCAACGGACAAAATCTGCAGGCAAAATAAAAAGTTATACAGGAAAACAAAACTTTTAAATCGTCAGCGATGTATTTAAAAATTGTCGGGCTCAGGGGAACGAATCGTATTAGTTCTCGAAGTGACCGCTTGGCGGCGGTGGCTGGCCTTTCAATTCTAAACAAAGATAGGTGTAGAGTATATAAAGTACGATACATTAGCGCGTCAGTGAGAAAGTTGGTGTGAGAAATCTATTTTTTTTTATATTTTGCTTAATATATCTATTAAGTATATATTTATGTCATACATATTTAGAATATTTACATTATGATCACAACTACTGGCAGTTACTATAGTGGTTTTATATCTCAAAAATAATCCCTTCTCATCTCAGGACAATCGGCTTTAACAGACCACTCATCCCCGCTATTCGTCCATTGATGAGAGGTTTGTCTATATATATATATATATATATATATATATAATGAGAGGTTTCTCTCTCTCTCTCTCTTTCTCTCTCTCTCTCTCTCTATATATATATATATATATATATATGTGTGTGTGTGTGTGTGTGTGTGTGTGTGTGTGTGTGTGTGAAAAGTGTATATAAATATAAATAAATATAAGTATAAGAGGTCATCCAAAACATTACCATTTATAGAAAAGACACAGAGAGGCAACTTTACATCAGTGGGAAAGTGACTGAAGCCGAGAAGCCAGATGAGGACCAATAATATTGCTGATTCTTCTGTAGATTTTAGCAATATTCTAAGCCGAGGCGAATGGTTGACTTATAGATATGTAAGACGTGAGGAAAAGGTTCCGTTTATTTTAAATAGGATTTTACTTAATCTACTGACTGAACATTTGTGAAATCTTATTGAAGAAAAGTGCACCCTTTTCTCGAATATTTAGGTCAGTAGACGAAATAAAATACTCTTTAAAATATGCTAAATAACTCAGATGTGGTTATCCATTAAAAATAGCGTTTAAAGTAATATATATATATGTGAAAAGTGTGTGTATATAAATATATATATATATATATATATATATATATATATATATATATATATATATATATATATATATATATATATATATATATATATATATATATATATATATATTATTTATATATTATATGCATATGGTACTTATTAGAAAGCGCTCAATAGAGCTAACATATTTGGTTGGATAGATGTGAGTTTGTGACCCTGGGTTTCACGCTTTAGCGATCGTCAGACAAACAGGGTCACAAACTCACATCTATCCAACCAAATATATATATATATGTGTGTGTGTGTGTGTGTGTGTGTGTATATATATATATATATATATATATATATGTGTGTGTGTGTGTGTATATATATATATATATATATATATAATTCATATGAGGCATATATACATAGAGAAATATATAGTATCCTTAGATCGGAATCTTTGCACAATAGTTTCTTACCGGCCTAACCGAGAGTTTGGGCATGTTGGCCTTGTTCCAACTGTTGATCACGCCAGATGATGCGCTCTCTCCCAGAAACTGTAACCAAGTTCTGCTCAGCATAGTTGCAGTATAAACCACAGATGGGTCCTATAGGCGTTGAACAAACACAAATGTACCTGAGCAAACGTCTTCAACAAACATTGGCTAGTCGACTTAGCTGGCGTTTGGTTACAAAAACGAGTAGCCAGTGTATGTGTAAACCAATTTTTTCCTTCTGCTAATAGAACTGATGGTTTTGATCTGTCGAACAAATGTCTGATCAGCGTACCTAATCTACATATCAAATTCTGACCATCGATATGTCAACTGTTTATAGAAACAAAATTGTTTACTTAAATCTTATTTGACTGCGATCTTGTTATGTAGCTTCTTCCTTGTTTGTAAACGTGTGTGCACACCTCCATGTGACAGACTACATATTTATTCACTAAGAGATATTCACTAAGCCAGATACGTCTATTAAAATTAAAGATACTTTTATTCAAAAAGAAGAAATTATTTTTCAAAAGAAACGTTATTCATTGAACAGATCATTTTATGCAATATAAAGATGGCTTTCAAAATAAAAGATAATTTTATTCAAAGTCATTGCGTTGTTGTTCATAAAGATCAAAATTCTCAAATAATGAAAATACAAAGATGAGATTCAAAAATAGCGGGGCTATTAATGAAGCCAAAAACACTCTTGGATGAATATTGCAAACTAATTCTTTCCTCTGTCCTTCTTGCCTTCAATATAACCTGCGTGTGTCAAATTCTCTAATCCCTCTTTTCTCATTACGTTAGGAAGTTTCAAGGGAAATTGATGCAAAGATACGTTTATGCTTAGAATAAGAAAAAGAAAGTTGAAATAGTCTCAGACGCATAATGAAGAAAGAGTGCTTGGAGAATATGACACTCACAATACATAATGAAATATCGGGAAAATTTATTATGCTTATTTTAGTAGATATCAAATGAAATAAGAATTCATTTTTACTAATACGGAAAAAGAACATAAACTCAAATT